AATATAAATGGGACTCCTCCTTTTAGCCAAACAAGTTTGACAAAGGAGCTGATTGGTGCTCCGAAACGCGTTACTTAGGCTACAGACCACCCCCGAGTTCCACGGTGGTTCTGCTGACATCACTTCCAGTGCAGCGGACTCCTCCATCCTCAGGAGAGGGTGCCCTCCGTGCAACGCTGACGTCCATCTGGTCTTAGGCTCCATCTGGTTCTGGACACCAATGCCATTATACCACTTAGCAATGGTCCCTGTCATTTAAGGCTTTTAACTTCTTTACACATGTGAGTGTTTCATGTATGGATTAAATTATATTATCGTTTAATATTGCACTTGGAGGCACCCCCTTGTGTTTCTTTCACTTCTCTACCAAAGCATGTGGTCATTGTTTGTGGTCACTCCTCCACAGGTTGGCCAGACAGGGGCTGCTCATTCTCTCTCTTCTGTTAAAGAAATTCATTTTGACAAGAACAGGGGTCCCCAAATTTTCTAAAATAAAGGTCAGTTTATTGTCCTTCAGACTTTGGGAGGGGGGTTACAGATTTCTACCCATAAATAATATCTGGTAATCCTCAAGCAAGTTGTTAGAACATCAAATCCTGCCATGATTCTTGTTCATTCTTAGAGTGCTCCGCATGTAGTACTTCATTTGGATTGTCTATTTAAGGTATTAAGCATAATTTCTTATCTTGTTCCTTTCTGTTACTTTCTTCTGATAGCTATACTAAGATCATCAAGTGTCCAGTCAGCTTCGATTTCTTTAAATTTCCTGACAAAATAATTTGACTCTCTGTGTACATAGTTCATTCAAAGATGGCATTCCGAATCATTTAAATATATGTTCCCCAGCTAGAGACTGACACACAAGGATAACCAGGTAGCAAACATATCTAAAAACATATCTAAAAGGTGTAGAGATGCTTCTCATATACAGTGCCTTGAATAAGTGTTCATACCCCTTGACATTTTCCACATTTTGTGATGTTACAACAAAAAAAGTAAATGTGTTTGTCCTGCCTTCTCTGCAGTTATGAAAGGGTTACAGAGGATTACAGGCAGTATAACCTTTGATGTCCACACAGTAAAGAGTCGATGATTGATAACCGATGATCTTTTACTGATAACATGTGATCATAATGAGAATGAATGAATAAATGTGCGGATGAATGTGAATAAATGGTAAAACTGAAATACAAACAGAATAAACAGACATGAGTACATATCTAACTACCTAGCTATATACAAACATTCCTCAGTATATAGGAGGGGTACTTACAGACTTTGGGGGTCTAACAAGCCCATATATTTGAAGAGGGAACAGCATCCCACATGTACTTGCATTGTAGAATTTCTTCAGTCTGAAGAGATGAGGTCACTTCCTCCCAAGTTAGCAAACAGGAAGTCTCAGGCCTTAAGGGGACAGACACTGCTGAATGCTAAAGAATACCTTGTGTAATACAAGGCAGCACACTCCCCACCTGGCATAATAATGATATGCCACTATTAAACTCTTGGAAGGAGTAAAACGACTTCTGTGATGGGTCTAAGGTACATCTTAGGGGTGCCCCTGTTTTACTACTCTGACCTCTACTTTCCTGACTCTGCTATCACTACTAGCATCAGTCCCCACAATGAGTCCAATTGGCCACTCGTTCCTGTGGGCCTGAGAGTCTTTTAGTAGAACAACATCTCCAACTTGTAAGTTGGGCTTGTCGGCTTGCCATTTGTTGCGTGGTTGGAGGGTCGTCAGGTACTCCTGTCTCCATCTCTTCCAGAAGATATTGGCAAGGCTTTGAACTTGTTTCCATTGCTTGGTGTACAAGTCTTTAAGATCAAAGTCCCCGTTGGGAGCTGTCACCATCTCCATCTTCTGGGTCAGCAACGTTGCCGGTGTCAAGACGGTTGGCATCTCTGGGTCAGTAGACACTGGGACCAAAGGTCTGGCGTTCATAATAGCCATGACTTCAGCCATCAGCGTGGTTAAGACTTCGTGTGTGAGACGAGTAGATCCAATCTTTAGAAGCATTGCATCTAGAATGCGGTGAGCTACTCCAATCATCCTCTCCCAAGCTCCTCCCATATGTGAGGCATGAGGAGGATTGAAGATCCAAGTGCATCTTTGATTTTGAAGATAGTTACTTGTCTCTGAGTCTGTTGCAACGATCTTCAATTCCTTGCAGGCTCCAATAAAGTTTGTGCCACAATCAGAACGAATCTGTTTTGCTGGTCCTCGAATGGAGAAAAATCTTCTCAAGGCATTGATGAAGCTTGAGGTAGATAGAGACTCAATTACCTCAATGTGAACTGCTCTGGTACTCATACACGAGAAAAGAACAGCCCAGCGTTTGCTCTCTGCACTGCCTCCTCTGGTCTTGCGAGAAGAAATATTCCAAGGACCAAAAACGTCCAGGCCTACATTTGTGAATGGAGGATCTGAAGCCAGCCTGTCTGGAGGTAAGTCTGACATCTTCTGGACTTCAAGTTTTCCTCTGATTTTCTTGCAAGTTACACATTTGTTAATCACGCTGGAGACTAGTCTTTTACCTCCTAGGATCCACAATCCAGCTGAGCGGACTGCTCCTTCAGTGAGGTGGCGACCTTGATGTGCAACTTGCTCGTGGTGGTGTCTTGTCAGAAGAACGGCAACATGATGATTCTTGGGTATGACAATGGGATGTTTTTCTAGAATAGTCATATCAGCTGCGGGTAGACGACCTCCAAGTCTCATCACTCCATCTTCATCAAGGACAGGGTTCAACTTTCTGAGCGGGCTGTGTTTAGAAAGATCTTCTTTCTTGAGAAGACATTGAATTTCTTCCTTGAAGGCTTCCTGCTGAACACATCTGATAATGGTGACATTGGCTCGCTCAAGATAGTCATTGTTACCCTGGTCAACACTGGCTGTCAGGGCTCCCAGGTATGACCAGAGGTGTGTGACTGATGCAGGGAAACGCAGACTTCAGATATGTGATAAACAATACAATTTATTAACACTAACAATACAAACATAAATGCAGTGCAATACTAAAACATAACACAGTGCAAACAAACCAACCAACCACCCACAGATAACAGTATATACAAGCAAGCGTCGTCAGGCAGGCCGGGTCAATATCAATGGGCAGGTAGGTACAGGGGGAGCAAGCAGAGAATGGTCGGGGTCACAGGCCAGGTTCAGCAGGTAGCAAGCAGCGTAGTACAGAGGGTCAGACAGAAGGATGGTCAGGGTCACAAGCCAGGATCAGAGCAGGAGAAATCAGCAAAGGAACAGAAACAGGATGCAGGACAGATACAGGGCCCAGGACAAACACAACACCAAGGCAGAGTCTGCAAGTCTGGCCATCCCTTAAATACCCCAGTATCATCAGTTCCAGGTGTTAGCTGGCTGAAAGGTTGAGTCTCTGATTGCTGGGAGCACCCGCTGGCCAGCCCTGGTACTGCAGATCAAAAGGCAGGTGAGTCCCACCATTGCTGGCCAGTCCATTCCTAACAGTACCCCCCCCCCCCCTCAAGGAGCGGCCTCAGGACGCTCCAAACAGTCCTAGCTGGGCAAAATGTTCCACCGCCCGGGTCTGGTAACTGGCGGGATATCAAAGACTGGCACACCGGGCAGGACTCCGGGCAGCGGCACACCGGGCTGGACTCCGGGCAGAGGCACACCGGGCTGGACTCCGGGCAGAGGCACATCGAGCAGAGGCACACCGGGCAGAGGCACATTGGGCAGAGGCACATCGGGCAGAGGCACATCGGGCAGAGGCACATCGGGCAGAGGCACATCGGGCAGAGGCACATCGGGCAGAGGCACACCGGGCAGAGGCACATCGAGCAGAGGCACACCAGGCAGAGGCACATCAGGCAGAGGCACATCGGGCAGGACTCCGGGCAGAGGCACATCGGGCAGGACTCCGGGCAGAGGCACATCGGGCAGGACTCCGGGCAGAGGCACATCGGGCAGGACTCCGGGCAGAGGCACATCGGGCAGCACTCCGGGCAGAGGCACATCGGGCAGCACTCCGGGCAGAGGCACATCGAGCAGAGGCACACCGGGCAGAGGCACACCGGGCAGAGGCACACCGGGCAGAGGCACACCAGGCAGAGGCACATCGGGCAGAGGCACATCGGGCAGGACTCCGGGCAGAGGCACATCGGGCAGGACTCCGGGCAGAGGCACATCGGGCAGCACTCCGGGCAGAGGCACATCGGGCAGCACTCCGGGCAGAGGCGCATCGGGCAGCACTCCGGGCAGAGGCGCATCGGTTTACCAGGCGAAGCAGCAGGCAGCGGGCCACCAGGCGGAGCAGCAGGCACCGGGCCCCCGGGCGGAGCAGCAGGCACCGGGCCCCCGGGGGCGGAGCAGCAGGCACCGGGCCCCCGGGCGGGGCGACAGGCACCGGGCCCCCAGGCGGGGGCGACAGGCACCGGGCCCCCAGGCGGGGCGACAGGCACCGGGCCCCCAGGCGGGGCGACAGGCATCGTGCCCCCAGGCGGGGCGACAGGCATCGGGGCGACAGGCATCGTGCCCCCAGGCGGGGCGACAGGCATCGTGCCCCCAGGCGGGGCGACAGGCATCGTGCCCCCAGGCGGGGCGACAGGCATCGTGCCCCCAGGCGGGGCGACAGGCATCGTGCCCCCAGGCGGAGCGACAGGTCTCGGGCCCTCAGGCGGAGCGGCGGGCGCCGGACCCCCAGATGGAGCGACAGGTCTCGGGCCCTCAGGCGGAGCGGCGGGCGCCGGACCCCCAGGCGGAGCGACAGGTCTCGGGCCCTCAGGGCGGAGCGGCGGGGCACCGGACCCCCAGGAGGAGCGACAGGTCTCGGGCCCTCAGGCGGAGCGGCGGGCGCCGGACCCCCAGGTGGAGCGACAGGTCTCGGGCCCTCAGGCGGAGCGGCGGGCGCCGGACCCCCAGGCGGAGCGACAGGTCTCGGACCCTCAGGCGGAGTGGCGGGTGCCGGACCCCCAGGCGGAACGACAGGTCTCAGGCCCCCAGCGGGGCGGGGGGCGCGGCACCGAGTCACCAGGCACAACCGTGGGCTCCGAGTCAACTGGGATGACCGCTGGCACTGGGTCAGACATTGGATCGTCTGGCTGGACAGCGGTCATCGGGTCACCAGGCATCAGGTCATTTGGCTCGACAGCGGGCACCGCGTCATCTGGCAAGGCAGTGGGCTCCGAGTCAACTGGTATGACCGCGGGCACTGGGTCAGACATTGGATCGTCTGGCTGGACAGCGGGCACTGGGTCACCAGGCATCAGGTCATTTGGCTTGACAGCGGGCACCGCGTCATCTGGCAAGGCAGTGGGCTCCGAGTCAACAGGCACGACAGTGAGCACCGGGTCATCAGGTACCGGATTGTCTGGCTCGACAGCGGGCATCGGGTCACCAGGTATGACAGCGGGCACTGGGTCACCAGGCATCAGGTCATTTGGCTCGACAGCGGGCACCGGATCAGGTACCGGATCATCTGGATCAACAGCGGGCATCGAGTCAACTGGCCTAATAGGATCGTCAGGCTGGATCAGTTCATCATGCTGGGTAGAGGCATCAGGCCAAGTAGAGGCTTCAGGCCGAGTAGAGGCATCAGGCCGAGTAGAGGCTTCAGGCCGAGTAGAGGCATCAGGCTGAAGAGAGGCATCAGGCTGCGTACAGGCATCAGGCTGAAGAGAGGCATCAGGCTGCGTACGGGCATCAGGCTGAAGAGAGGCATCAGGCTGCGTACGGGCATCAGGCTGAGTAGAGGCTTCAGGCTGCGTACCGGCATCAGGCTGAAGAGAGGCTTCAGGCTGAACCACGGAAGGCAGGCTCACCGGTTTGGATACTGGCAGGATGGTATTGGTTGGAAAGAATTTTCGCTTTTTTCTGGTTTTAACTACTGGAGCACTGCAAGTAAACGCAGGTCTGCAAACGAATGGAGCAGCTGGAGACAGAGAAGAACTGGAGGATGGAACAGGAGAGGGAGCGGTTGCTACAGAGGGCTTTTTTACAGGGTTAAAGGCAGGATAGGTGCAGCGAGTGGGAACAGGGTACTGACATGCGGTAGATAGCAGGGCAGGAGGAGCTGTTGGAATGCAGGAATAGAGTTTTGAGGAAATAGATTAGAAGCAGGACTGGGTCTTTGTAAGCTGACTGAGGCTGGGTGCAACAAATCTGTCCATGTCTGCAGTATGGGTTGAACAAAGCTGAGCTTACACAAAGCCTGTCTGGTCAATGACTGCACTGCGTTTATACAGTCTCTTAGTATCTGTGGTGAACATGTGGAATAACGCTCCAGAAAGTAACCCACATCATCCTCTAATAACCACACCAGGGACTCTACCTGGTCTGCACTAAATGGTGGCAAAAATTCATCCCTGCATTCGGGGGAAACCAGATGAAACCAATTCAGCACAAACTTCAATCAAAGGCTGCACCTCAGAGAACTCTATGCCCTGATCTACTAGAACATGAGCGAGCCGTATACATTCTAGCAGTTCATCCCGGGTATACTCCTTCAGAGTCTGATAAGCATACTCCCTGTCATCAAACACTAGCAGATATAAATATTCAACCTCATCCAGATCCATCCTTCCCATCAACAAGCCAAGATGGCTTCCCTGTGCAGCCACTTCTGGTCAGGATTGGCCTTGGTGTAATGTCAGGGCTCCCAGGTATGACCAGAGGTGTGTGACTGATGCAGGGAAACGCAGACTTCAGATATGTGATAAACAATACAATTTATTAACACTAACAATACAAACATAAATGCAGTGCAATACTAAAACATAACACAGTGCAAACAAACCAACCAACCACCCACAGATAACAGTATATACAAGCAAGCGTCGTCAGGCAGGCCGGGTCAATATCAATGGGCAGGTAGGTACAGGGGGAGCAAGCAGAGAATGGTCGGGGTCACAGGCCAGGTTCAGCAGGTAGCAAGCAGCGTAGTACAGAGGGTCAGACAGAAGGATGGTCAGGGTCACAAGCCAGGATCAGAGCAGGAGAAATCAGCAAAGGAACAGAAACAGGATGCAGGACAGATACAGGGCCAGGACAAACACAACACCAAGGCAGAGTCTGCAAGTCTGGCCATCCCTTAAATACCCCAGTATCATCAGTTCCAGGTGTTAGCTGGCTGAAAGGTTGAGTCTCTGATTGCTGGGAGCACCCGCTGGCCAGCCCTGGTACTGCAGATCAAAAGGCAGGTGAGTCCCACCATTGCTGGCCAGTCCATTCCTAACAGGCTGTTTTGCTGAAGGATCTGGCCAAGCAGATGAGTTTCCCTATGGCACGGATGAGTGACTTCCAGCTGGAAAACCTCTCGAACCTACATGAGCCAAGACCTTCTCTGGTGGTTAGAGTCTTGTAAACTGCAACTAGAGGTCTTACCTCTTTGTCTTGGTCTGGTTCTACAAGCTGAAAAGTTCCTTTCTGATCAGTCTCTTCAGTTTCTGGTCCAGTCAAGAAGGATGGACCTGTGAACCAGTTAGTCTGTTTGAGGACAGCAACTGGTACCAGTCTAGTCCCATGATCAGCAGGGTTCTTGTCTGTACTGATGTGATGCCACTGTTCTGGACTTGTACACTTTCTGATACGTGTCACTCTGTTTGACACGTATGTGTAGAATCTTCTTGAAGCGTTATGGATATAACCTAAAACAATCTTGCTGTCTGTGTAGAAGTTCACTGCATGGATTTCGATGTCCAGTTCTGCAATGAGTAAGTCTGCTATCTCCACAGCTAGGACAGCAGCACAAAGTTCTAAGCGTGGGACTGTGTGAGCAGGTCTTGGAGCCAGTTTGGACTTTCCCAAGATGAATCCTGCATGGCTTTGTCCCTGAGTGTCTATGACTCTAAGGTAGGCTACAGCTGCTATAGCCACGGTGGATGCATCTGAAAACACGTGTATCTCTCTTCGTTTTGTAATAGACAAAGAAACAGAGACGTATGGTCTTTGGATGCTAAATCGCTCAAGCTCCAGCAAAGAGTCTTTCCACAACTTCCACTGCATTTCTTTCTTTTCAGGTAGAGGTGTGTCCCAATCACTTTGTTCTAGCTCAGTTGTAATCTCCCTCAAAAAGAGCTTTGCCTTGCATGGTGATGGGTGCTACGAACCCCAAGGGATCGTAAAGACTGTTGACCGTAGACAAGACACCTCGCTTTGTGAAAGGCTTCTCTTCCCTGGATACTCGGAAGGTGAAGCTGTCAGTTTTCAAGTCCCAACTAAGCCCTAAGCTTCTTTGAAGGGGTGGTGAATCTGTACCTAGATCTAGGTCTTTGAGGTCTTTTGCACGGTCTTCTGCTGGGAATGCTTCCATTACTTTGCTGTTGTTGGAAGCCACTTTGTGCAGTCTTATGTTAGAGTCTGCTAGCAAGTCTCTAGTGCTTTTCAAAATGTCAATGGCTTCTCCACTACTGGAGAAGGAAGCAAGTCCATCATCTACATAAAAGTTTTTCATAACAAATTGTTTGGCTTCAGGGTTGTGTCTGTCACCTTGCTGCGCTGCTCGTCTCAAGTTGTAGATAGCGACAGCTGGTGAGGGACTGTTCACAAACACATGTACTTTCATCCTATACTCTATGATACCTTTGTTGAGGTCGTTGTCTTCATACCATAGGAACCTCAGGTAGTCTCTGTGGTCTTCACGGACAAGGAAGCAGTAGAACATCTGCTGTACATCTGCTGTTACTGCAACAAGTTCTCTTCGGAATCTGATAAGGACTCCAAGAAGTGTGTTGTTCAGGACTGGTCCGCTGAGAAGTACATCATTAAGGGAAATACCTTCATGCTTTGCACTGGAATCAAATACTCCACGTATCTGACCTGGTTTTTGAGGATGGTACACTCCGAATATTGGCAAGTACCAGCGTTCTTGTTTTTCATGCAGTGCTGGTGCTTTTTCAGCTTGATCTTTGTCAAAGATTTTCCGCATGAATTCTTGGAAGTGTTCTTTCATGTCTGGCTTTCTTTCAAGAGTGCGCTGCAATAGCGCAAGGTGTTTCTCTGCTTGCACTCTGTTGTTGGGAAGACGATGCCGTGGTGTACGGAATGGTAGTGGGGCTACCCAACTGCCTGCTTTGTCTTTGAAGACTTCTCTGTCCATGATCTCAAGGAAGAGGTTATCTTTAACAGATGGTGCTAGTTTGTCATCATCTTGAGTTCTCTCAAACACTTTGTGGCATAGCTGATCTGAATCTTCAGCTGAGGCTGTATCTTCCAGGAACCTCTGGATGTTCTGGGGATGTGTTGGGTTAGATAGTTTCTCTTTAATCTGCATGCTGTTGTTACATGGGCAAAGACATGATGTGCGACCGTTCTGCAGCAGATTTGTTCTGTAGACATTAACCTTTGCGGGTTTGTGAAGTCCGTCCAGACATACATTTCCAACGATAACCCATCCAAGATCAAGACGTTGAGCAAATGGTGCATTGTGCGGCCCATTGTATTGTTCTCTGACCTTGTGCACTCTCAGTATGTCTCTTCCTAGTAGAAGGACGATTGCAGCATCTGGGTTGAGTGTTGGGATCTTGTTTGCTATTCGCATGAGATGAAGGTAGTGACGTGCCACTTCAGGTGTGGGAATCTCTGACCTGTCATCTGGTATCATGTCACATTCTATGAGGGTAGGAAGAGTCAGCTGCGTCTTTCCATCTAATGACTCGATGGTGTAGTTGTTTGCTCTTCTCCCTGATGTCTCTATAACTCCAGAACATGTCTTCAAGGTATATGGAGTTGAACTTCCTTTGTCACCGAAGAGGTCGAAGAACTCTGTCTTTGCTAGAGACCTGTTGCTTTGTTCGTCTAGGACTGTATACATCTTCACTGCCTTTTCTCTGAGACCGTTGGGATACACTTTGACTAAGCATATCTTGGAGCATGATCTAGAGAGTCCTGGTTCTGTACAGATCTCAGTGCACTTTGAAGTTATCGCTGGTGTTGCACTTTCTTTTTGCTCCCCACCATGATCTTCTTGAGTTGCTGGAACTTCTGATCTCCATGGTGGTGGTCCTGGGTGCAGTGCTGACAGATGTCTGTCATTGTTGCATTCTGTGCACCGTATTTCTCTCTTACAGTCTTTTGCAAGATGTTGCATTGAGGCGCAGCATCTGAAACAAATGTGATTGTCTTTAAGGTAAGCCTTGCGCTCCTCTAATGTCTTACTTCTGAAACTGCGACATTTTCTTAGTAGATGAGGCTTGTTGTGTATGGGCACTGTTTGTCTGGATCCTCAACTTCCTTGCTTGTGTTCCTGATTGGCTGCAGCCTCAGGCGGAACTTCTGTCTTCCGCACAGACACTGTTGCTCTGCGTTCTTTGTAGTGTACTGGTGGCTGCTTCTCTGTCCTTGGGGAGCTTGCAACTCTCTTGTTCAGGAAGGTGAAGCTTGGGTCATTGCGTGTCTTAGCTTGGTCTACAACGAATTCAGCGAGGAAGACAAATGGTGGAAATGCAACTCGATAGTCTTTCTTGTATCTGGATGCTTGAGAGACCCACCTTTCTTGCAGGTTGAAAGGGAGCTTCTCGATTATGGGCTCTACTCCACGTGCTGTGTCTAAGTATAAGAGACCTGGCAGAGTTCCACTAGTCTTTGCTACTTCTATCTCTAGGAGTAGGTCTCCAAGCTCTCTCAGCTTCTGA